ATATGGATACTGGAGTGATAACTATTATTGTACATAAACTATATAAGAGTTAAGTGGCCATCCTAATTAATTTTGAAATTCATAACACATGCCATCAAAATATCCTCTAGGGTGTAAATTTTGATCTCTTCTTGGACATCTCTTTAAGGATGAAAAACAATACTAATGTTTCCCTTCGAACACAAACATCTTTTAAAGTGCATCAAAACATAGTGGTAAATTCGCAACCATATCGGAAATGATAGAGACAAGGACTTCATGAAGTTGGATTATCTCTCAAATGTATAATCAGGCATAATCTTTTAAATAATTTGTACGATATACTGGTAAGCAATGGCTAATTTAATTATTTTATCTATAATCATCCAAATGGAATTATGTTGCATGCGAGATCGTGGCAACACAATGCCTTATACTCAAGAAGATTTTCCTTTAGTTAAAGTAAGATGGTGTCTTTGTCTTGTTTGTGCTTTACTTATGACGTTAAGATGATTTAGCCCCGTTCACCTCCATTGTTTTAGATTAAGGTCCTTCCGACTAAAACATGATTGAGTCTCTTGTGGTCAGTAAACACATCCACATGAATAATATAGAGATAATAACACAATATTTTGAAAGTAATAACCAGTATTGGAAACTCGAGATCATGAGTAAGGTAGTTTCTTTTGTAAATCTTAAGTTTTTTGGTGGCATAGTCTATAAACTAACCCTTCTGCATCAATACACAACGAAGACTAACATAGGACACATCGCAATAAAAAACAAAACCATATTTACCCTGCAATAGGGTTAATACAGGAGCAATGTTTAACAGAGTTTTTAAATGCTTAAAGCTTTTGTGACAATCTTGACACCATTGAAACATACTGGTTTTGTAGGTCAACTTAGTCAATGAGGACGAAATAGACAAAAAACCCTTGATGAACCTTCTGGCTATGTACTTTATAGGGACTTTTGAGTTGTAATAGACTCTTATAAAATTTGGTGATTGATACTACTCCCAAAATAATAATATATATAAATTACGTTCAATTCACCCTTACAATGAAAAGGACTATTCTTTACATGTCACTTTACTTTTATAAAAAAAAACTTAGTACATCGATTATGCTGTTTTTCAACTGTTTGACGGCAAATATGAAAAAAAAATTGAATTTCCTTTCAAGGATGCAGTTTAAAACATGCATTTAAAACATATGATTATGGGTTTATCTTTCAAGTCCAAGATTGAAATATAAAAATAGAAAAGTCTTGTACTTTTCTTAAAATAGTGCTTTCTTATAATAGAATAATGATACATTCTTAATCGTTTATGTTTTTTAAACCCTTTCTAAATTAATGATTTTAACTTTCCTGTTATCTCAATTTATTTATGAATGTGCACTAAAACATGTTATCAGGTTATTCAGAATCTTTCAAAGGTAAATGGAATCAATAGGAGCTAATATACAGTGATGATGAATGTAGCCACAACTTAAAGGAGCACTCGTCAGGTTAAACAAAGAAAAGAATCAGATAAACGACATGTGGGGTACTTCTGGACCAGGCCACAAGGCCCTGAAAAACTGTAGGTCAGACTTGGTGCCTACAGTTGCGCCACCCCATGTCCCTCCCCAGAATTCCGAACGAACTCAAGTCTCCAAATTAGTTTGGATTTGGGAATTTTTCTTAACTCTATTGATATTCAAACCAAAAACCAATACATGAAAAAGTTTCGTATAAGTCCATTTCAAAAAACTTTAAAAAATTAATACTGTTCATGTTATACTAAGCTTTAACAATATTACATGATTCTAAAAAATAAAGGAAATCAAAACCTCAATTGTTAAAGAACAAAATTCAATATCAATAACAAAGAGTAGATACTTTAGGTGTGATGATTTATGACTAAATTGAGATATAAAGAATGATGAAAACTAGTCCAACAATATGAATAGCGTTACACAAAAGGAAACAACAAACGTTCTTGGTGAAATCAATGGAAATTTGAAGAACTCTTGAAGCCTAGTTTTTCTCCACTACGAACCTTGCTCTAATTCTTGTAGGTGTTAAAGAACGTGCAAAATCTTTTAACATTGTTTAGACCCTTAGTTAGTTTTGAAAAAATGTGTTTTAGGTCTAGAAGGTATGGGAAAATACAAAACAACCCCTCAAAAAATTGTTGAGGTGCCTTACAAAAAGAGGCTTCACTAAAACATGCCTATCTTTTTAGTCGAATATGAAATGAAGCGGACTTGGTTAAATGGGGAATTTGACTCATGGACCTTCACTAGGTAATTATCCACGTATTTATATATGTGTTGAATGATATAATTTTTTGAAGTTGATCTTAAAATAGAGTTGACAGGTGACTTGTACGAACCCCTTTTTAACGTTTTTCCGAAGTCTGAGGTGTTACATCTATGAATAGAAATTTCAGTTTAAGCCAAAAATAGATGTCGAAATTACGTTTAATTTTCTTTAAAAGAAAAATATGTTTTATTTGATTTAAAGTTGAAACAAGAATAGGTACTTGTAATAGAATAGGTACTTGTAATAGAAATATGTTTAATTTTTTGAAGTTGATCTTAAAATAGAGTTGACTGATTTCTTAGGACAACATAAAATTACATAAATACTACATTAAAATAATATATTATATCAAGATGAAGGTAATCCATTGTTTACTAAACAAGTTTTAAGTTGGATTTCAAACTTAATGATAAATATTCATATTCGATCAGTTACAAAAAAAAACCAAAAATATGCAAAAACAAAGTAAAGAAATCTACTGTACAACCCCGAAAAATTTTAAGTTAAGACTCCAACCATTCTTTATTTGTAAACCATATGTTGCCGAGTGAATTTAAATTTTCTTAGTTGTTAAGGTCACCAGATGAAACGCCTCAAGTTTCAAAAATAACTTAAAAGAAATTTACTCAAGTCACCCTTCAATTTTCTTAAGCTTTGGGTCAACTTCAAATGATGATATCTTTTAGAAAATAAATATCTAGGTTGCCCGTAGCCTATCAAATCAAAGGTCGTCGGTTACCCTTTTCAGCGCCACTAAGTTTTCCTCAATCAGAGCTCTGAATAAAATCTCATGACCGATTGACTATAGAGATGCACGCGTCTGGCTCCACATTATAGGGCCAATACGGACGTTACTGCCTGCTAGAAAAATACTCCAACTTCTAGCTTATTTTATTTAATTTTTTAAGGTTATTTTAGTCCTAAAAACTTTATGAAGTCATATAAATAACCCTAAATGTGAAGAAAAATCATTTTTCACAAATCAAACCCTCTCATTCACTCCTAAATTTCTATGCTCAAGAACATTCAGAAAATACTACGTCTAGGATTCATATTCCAATATTTTCCTTCAAGTTTTATCAAGCACTTCGTCCTTCCAGATATGTGAGCTTTCACATAGTAATGGAATTATTCTTCCACATGCCAATGATAGATTCGTTCCATTAAACTCATTCATGAAATAGTTTATGTAGAGGTTCTTGATTAATTCTTGAGTTCTAAGTCTATACTTTAATAATGGTGGTTTCAAATTCTTTAAGTTAGGGTCTTACGAATGAGGGTTATTTCTTTCTAGACTTTCATGAAATTTTATTAAATTGTGTTGGGCTATTGAATCAAAAAGGAATTTAAATAACTCAATCTGTCCTAATAATATTGGGATTAAAGATCATAGGAAATTCTGGATTTTGGGGTTGAACGACAAAGGATCCCTCTCTGCATCGCGCAAAGGATATAGAGTTCTCTGCCTCGAGATTTTACGAACAATGTTTGAGTTCTCTCTCCTCCTCGCGTAGAAAATACAGTCTCCCATGTCTCAGGTTTTCAGTGTGGGTTCTTTCAATTCATGTCTTTGCTCTAAACTTTATAATTACCCGCAGAGTTTTCCTTAATCATTGAGAGGTACTTCATGTCCTAATCAAATTCCTTAAATTATGTTTTGTTGCTCTTTCATATCAAAGTAACGTTAATAGGAAAAGTTCAAAAGCTCCTTATGAGTAAAATTTGAGTGTTCTATTGACATTGATTAAAGTTTCGAACCAAGTCTGCAGAAGAGTTTTATTCATTAGTTTCCATATGATAATTGAGGTCCTTAAGTTGAGTCGTTCATGTAAATAATTTTACATCAACCCTGTGAGTTGATCTCTATGTCTTTAATGCCTTTGGAATCCAATCATTTTGATTCAAACTGAGTTTTGAGAAAAAATCTTAAGGTTTTATTTCATAGAAAAAGTAAAAAGTTTTTGAATTTAAGTATATGTTCACAAGAATGTAAGTATAGCTATGGTTTGAAAAGTATTTCAACAAGTTACAAGTCCCTTTTTTGAAAGGGGTAAAATTAATAATAATAATGTTAAAACAAATGTTTTGAGAGTAGTATCAAGCACCAAATTTAGTTACAGTCTTTCATAACTCAGAAGTCCCATAAAACTACCTAGGTAGCCTAGGATAGGATAACATTGATTCTTTATGCGACTCCTCACCGCGTCTGAGAATGCACATAGTCGTATTCATAGTAACAATAACATCACATACCCCCGAAAAAATATAGGATGGTCACTAGAAATGTGTCGCGGGATGTTGTATTAATTCTAGGCTCATAGTAGTGGTTGTCGGTAAGTTATTTAATCTAAGTTACAACTTACCAGTACCATTCTAAGCTCATGTTAATGGTTGTAGATAGGTTGTTTAATCTATGTAATCATTTACCAGTACTTTCAATGATTTTGAGAATATTCAGGATATTGCAGGAACAAATTAGTTAGTTAAGTTTAGGATATTTAAATTATGTTATTAGAGTCCTATTTCACTTATATTTAGGATTTAATTATTTTTTTTGTTAATTGAGTTTTCATGTAAGGTAGTAGCATATTTTTCTATTTTTAGTTAGAAACTATATTTGTTAATATATATCTTTGGATTATTAATAAAACAATTCCCTTGAACAATTTTGCAATATTTTTGCCCTCAAAAGTCTTTATCTATTATTTTCTTAATTTATTTATTAAATATCAACAATTGGTATCTAGAGCCTTCTTCTTGAGGGATATGTGAGTAGAAGAATGTATTCAAAAAATTGTTCTTCACGAATGTCTCCTCCTATTTTTGATGGTTAGAACTATCAATTATGGGTTGCGAGAATACAAACTTACTTGGAGGAGCTTGATATTTGGGGATATGGAAGAGGATTATGAAATCTATCTGCTGCAAAATAATCCCATCATGCCCCAAATCAAGAGTCACAAGGAAAAGAAGACCATTAAGTCGAAGGCAAAAGAACCTTTTTTTGTTACTATTTTGACAACCATTTTCACGAAAATCATGACTCTAATATCATCAAAGATATTTAGAATTATCTGAAGAAAGAATATGTTGAAAATGAAAGAATACGAGGCATGAAAGTATTAAATTTAATTAGGAAATTCGAATTACAAAAAATGTAAGAGGAAATGAAAGAGTAAGAAAAAATCAAGGAATACTCTGAGAGGATTGCTTCATATTGTCAACAAGGTAAGATTATTAAGCACTAAATTTAAGGATACAAAGATTGTTGAAAAGGTTCTTGTTATTGTGCCTGAATGATATGAAGCATGTATTAGAACATTGGAAATCACACAAGATTTGTACAAAATTACCTTAGTAGAAGAATATTCTTTGCAGGCACAGGAATAAAGGAGGCTTATAAGGAAAGATGACATGGTTAAAGGAGCATTAATATCTAGCCAGAAAACTCAAAGAAAGGGTAAATTTTTGAAAAATCACTCACCTTGTACGCATTGGAAAAAATGGACATCCTCCATATAAATGTTGGAAAAGACTATATGCACAGTTATAAATCTTCAACCAACTTGGTCATGAAGCTCTTATTTGCAAAAGAAAATTTAAAAAAGACAAAAGTGTTAGATGTTTTAATTAATTATGTAAGTTCCTTCTTTCCTAGTTTTAATGGTATATGGTTGCTATTTCAAAGTTACTGGAAACGTGTGAATTAGTAGGTCAATTTTATTTTCTTTTATGGCTTATTGGTTTTCATAATGTATGATGTGGATTGCCTCTAAGGTTGTTGTTTCTTTAAGTTTAATGAGAACTTCACCACCTTCCAAACTCTTCTACGTTTATTTTTATTTATTTCGAGTTTTCTAATAGTGGTATCAATAGCCAGTGAGTGTGACCATTCTTTAATTGTGAGTGCACCATGTCTTTAGTGATTTTTGTTTAACCTTCTATCCCATGCTTTGTTGTAATTGTGACCATTGGATCATGTTTATGGAACACTTTTTGAGGTCCAAAGTGTTATGGGAAGTAGTTGATGGTGGATTTCATGAACCTGCGGCTCGTGCTGTTCAAATATATGCTCAACAGACAGAGCTTGAAGCACTGTAGTTGAATAATTTGAAGGGGAAGATTATATTTTCCAAGACATTGATCGTTCAATATTGGAAACAATTCCTTGCAAGGATACGTCAAATCATATTCGGGACTCCATGTAGAAGAAGTATCAGGGAAATGGAACGGCAAAGCGAACAAAGATTCCAACCATACGAGGAGAGTTTGAGACGTTGCTGATGAGGTTGGGATAGTCGGTATCAGTGTACTTCTCACGGACTATTACAACTGCAAACAAGATGAGGAATCAATGAGAGAGTCTTGAAGGTGTCACCATTGGAATATCTTGTGGTCCATGTTGCAGAAATTCAAATTTTGTTATCTGCTATATTGAAGAGTCCAAAGACTTTGTTACTCTTTCACTTGATTAATTACAAATTTCTTTGATGGTTCTTGAGCAGAAGATTCTTCAACAGGATGAAGAAGAGCAAGCATTAAAAGGAACCACAACCTCCAAAGATTCCGGGCAAAAAAGGAGCAAGTGGAAGGGAAGAAACTCAGATAAAACTGAAGAGAGAAACCAAAAACAAAATGGTCAGCATGATCGTGATCAACAACAATCGTCCAATGGGAAGGCAAGGATTGCAAGTCTCATATCGAGTTTTATAGATGTCACAAGTAAGGTCATTACAATTCTGAATGTCGTACGAATCTGAAAGATATATGTGGGGAGAACTCTAATTTTGCAGAAGAAACTGAGGAGGAAGAGATCCCTTTGTAAATGGTGAGCCAATCCTCAAAACAATACCATAAAATTTTATGGTATTTAGAAACGGGTTGTAGAAACCATTTTTCTGAAGAAAAATCTGTATTTTCTGATCTAGATGAAAAGTTTCACACAACAGTCAAGTTTGGGGATGATTCCCATATTGCTTTCAAAGGGAAACGGAAGGTAAAAATCCAAACAAAGACTTCATCTATGTAGATTATCTCTAATGTTTTCTTTTCAACAAACCTGAAAACAAATCTTATCTGTGTGGGTCAACATCAAGTGAACGGCTACGAGGTGTCTATTAAACATGGAATTTGTAGGATCCGAGATTCTAATGTTTGATATATCGCTGAAGCTAAGATGACGGCTAATAAGATTTTCCCACTTGAAATTCATATTATTGGCTGTACCAATTTTTGTATTTCAAAATAGTTGAATATTCAAGCATTGCTTTGACACCATAAATATGGGCGTTTGAATTTGGAGGACAGGAAATGTACAGAAAAAGAAGATGATTGAGGGTCTTCCTAATTTTGATATGCCTTTAGATATTTGTGAAGATTGTGTCATTGGAAATCAATCTCGCTATAGATTTCCAAAAGGAAAAGCATGGAGAGCAAAAAGGCAGCTAGAGTTGGTTGACTATAGTTGTGGACCAATAAAGACAATATCCAACGGAAGAAAACGTTAATTTATAAAGTTTATTGATGATTTTAGCCGAAAGACATGGTCTTGTTTTCTGCAAGAAAATTCTGAAGCTTTTACCATTTTCAAACGCTTCAACGCTCTTGTAGAGAAGGAGATAGGATGTTCCAATAAGATTCTTCGTACTGATTTTCGAGGGGAGTATATTTCACAAGGATTTATAAGTTTTTGTGAGTTTCGTGGGATATAAAGACAACTTACTATACCTTATACTCCTCAAAAAAATGGAGTATGCGAAAGGAAGAACCGAACAATAATAAACATTGTGTGAATCCTTTTACAAAACAGCCATGTTCCAAAAGCTTTTTGTCCTGAAGCAGTGTGCTGGAGGATTTGAGAGTTGAATTGAAGTCCTTCTCCTGTTATTAAGAATATGAAACCATAAGAAACTTTGAGTGGACAACAGCCAGATTTTCAATAGTTAAGAATGTTTGGCTGAATTGCATTTTGTCATCTTCCGGATCAGAAAAGGACAAATCTTGAAGGAAAAGCCAATAAGTGTGTTTACATGGGTGCTAGGAAGGAGTCCAAATCTTTCAAACTGTACAATCCTATCACTAATATTGTGATTATCAATCGTAATGTGCTGTTTGATGAAAATAATTTCTAGTCATGGGGAGAAAATCGAAACAAGCAACAAGTTCCTTTGGATCTTGAAGAGGGAGATAAGGAGCATGAGCAACCAGTAGCCGATGAAGGTGCTTTTACCTTGGTACATCAAGAAGGAACCAGCATCCGACCACAACAAAATGGAAGAAGGACAACATGGATGACAGATTATGTGCTGAGTGGAAATGCTCAATATGAAATTATAGATTCATCTACATATTTGGCTTTATTTCTTGGTTGTGATCCCGTAAGATTTTAGGATGCCTAAAAATATGTTAACTGGAATAAATCAATGGACGATTAGATTGCAACATTTGAAAAGAAGAAAACTAGGGAGCTTACGAGTATTCCAAAAGGCCAAAGATCCATTGGAGTAAAATGATTCTGGTTAAGATTATAAGTACAAGGTGCGCTTGGTGGTGAAATCATACAAACAAGAGTATGATGTGGATTAGAAGTAGGTATTTGCCCAGATAGTCATACTTGATACCATCCAATTGGTCTTGACATTGGCAACACAAAACAATTGGCCGGTTTATCAACTTGATGTAAAATTAACCTTTCTGCATAGAGAGTTGCAACAACAAGTATATGTTGATCAAACTCTTGGTTATGTGATGCTTGAAATTGACCATAAAGTTTGTAGATTGAAAAGGGATTTATACGGGCTAAATGAAGCTCCCCGAGCTTGGTATAATCACATTGATGCATATTTTAGTATAGGAAATTTTAGAAAATATTCATATGAGCATATAGTTTATACAAACATGAAAATGGGAAACTTGTGATTGTATGATTATATGTAGAAAATTTAATTTATGATGGGAGTAATCTGATATTTCTTCAAAAATTTAAGCTATCCATGATACTGAGTCTGATATGTCTGATCTTGGCTTGATGCATTACTTTCTGGCCATTGAAGTAATGAAATCAAGTAGTGAAATTTTTATTTCACAGAAAAATATGTCTAGGAAATATTTTAGAGGTTTGGAATGCAGATATTTATGTCACAACACCAACAGAGTTTAGACTTAAGTTGGAAAAGAATCCTATTAGAATGAAGATCGACAAAACTCTTTTAAAATAACTCGTGGGATGTCTAACGAATCTAACCGTCACCAGGCCTGACATAATGTAATCTTTTAGTCTTTTTATAAGGTACATGGATCACCAAAAAAAGATATATTTGTTGGTTACTAAAAGAATTCTTAGGAATTTGCAATGTACCATTGACTATGCTATTCTGTAAAAAAAAGAAGGCAAGTCAGAGTTGATTAGCTTTATAGATAGTGATTTTGGTGGAGATAAAGAAGACAGGAAAAACACTTCAGGTTATGTGTTTATGCTTGGATCTTGATTTGTTTCTTGGTTCTCCTAGTAGCAACAAATTGTTACATTGTCCACTACAGAAGCATAGTTTGTAGTTGCAACTGTGAGCGGTAACCCATGAAATTTGGTTGAATAAGATATTGGCTGAGCTTCATGATCGAGAACAATAACTAATTCTTATTCACTTCGATAATGGCTTAACGATTAAGATTACAAAGAATTTAGTGTTTCATGGACGGGGCAAACACATAGATGTTAACTTTCACTTTGTGAGAGATCTCACGAAGGAGAAAGTTACTGATGTTGTCTACTGTAGAATGTAAGACCAAGTTTTTGATAACTTCACTAAGTCCCTCAAGGTGGCAACGTTCAGAAAGTTAAGGAAGGCACTTGGAGTTTTCACTTTATGGGAAAGATACGGTGAATAATGTTATTAAGCTTAAGTCGTATACTTATCATTTTAAGGGAGTCTTAGTTAGATGTTTTAATTAACTATGTAAGTTTCTTCTTTCCTAGATTTCAGGGTAATATGTTTTATATTTTCAAGTTACTGGAAACGTGTGACTTATTAGGTTAGTTTTTATTTCTTTTACGGCTTAGTGGTTTAGATAATGTAGGATGTGTATTGCCTTTATAAAGGTTGTTCGTCGTTTTTATTTAGTGACAAGTTCAACCACCTCCCAAACTCTTTTGTGTTTATTTTAATTTCATTCCAGTTTTCCAATAGAAACAGCTGCCCAAGTAACTACTCAAGAAGAAGAAGACCACTTATTTGTGGCAGTTTATAGTTCAACCAAAAAAATCTGATTTTTGGATAATTGGTAGTTGTTGTTAAAACCATATGACATATGAAAGAAATCATTTTAAAGAGTTCATTTCTATGGAAAATAAGAGAGTCAGAATCTAAAATGGTGATTGTATTCCTTTAAAAGGAAAATGGTTTGTTTTAATTGAAACAAATTTATGTAGAAAAATGATTTTAATTGTTCTTTATGTGCCTGATATCGATAAAAGTTTATCTAGTATTGGTCTGTTATGTGTATCTTGAGGTTCCCAATGGACAAGTGTGGGCAGGGGCGACTCAACATACTTGGAGGCCGAAAGTGAAATTTTAATTTGAGGCTTAAAATATAAACAAACTTTATATACATATTTATTAATTTTTTCTTACTCTATTAGAAGAAAAATATTAGTATCTAATATTGTTTTTCAGTTACTAATTTTAGGTAAGA